TTGGGTAGCCTATGGTAAGGATGATGGTTATGACGATGTGGAAGATGACGAGATCGTAACGAAGCCAATGCCTACAATAAAAGACCAAAGGAAGGGAAAAGGCGGCAAATCGAGGAACAAAAAACGTCGCAAGTAGCCAATACAAATGAAGATGTGACTCTGAAAAAGAGTTTATTTAATTCAAATTCGAAAATCATAACCTCGACTTACAAGCCTTAGAGGAACGCCCACAAGAAGACTCTGTTCCTGTTCATAAAAACATCACCAATGGCGAATTTTAGTTAAGATTTGCTAGACGCCATTTTGAAGTTAAATGTAGTTGTTGAGAAAGCAGTCAAAGTTACACGGTTTCAAAAGTTAATTTAAGTAAGTTTTTTCTGTTTTCTTGAAGTATTATGGCTCCTACCTTAGAGCTGAAGATCGTAAATTTCAAACACAAAAATAGTTTCAGTTTGTACATAGTTTTTAAAACACCAAAAGCTTGACTGGATAGTCTTGGGATGAAGTAAATAAAATCAAAAATATATTTTATATAAGTTTCTTTGTGTTGCTCAATGAACTAAAAGATATTACTACACAAAATAATTATAAGTAATTAATAGCATGGCTCTGAGGGAGATTAGTGAGTAAATGTCCCCAAAGCCGAGGGCAGATAAGTTGATGGCCGCATACCGGGAGTTTCAGGCTAGCTTTTGAACAGGTTGTGCCCTCCCCCCTGACTTGCCAGGGAGAATGGGGAACAGATTCTTGTCACGGCATTCACCAGAATGACACAGCCAGTGATCTAATAGACTTCAACAAGGGCTGCAGAAGTGGATACAGAAAATTCCATCAGCATTCTGTTCTGTAGCACCAATATCCTTTCGAGTGATTGCACTTAATCCGTGCAACTATACAAACTAAATAGTGCTATTTAGTACGCGAATTAAATATGGAGCATTCAATACCATCTTACTTCAGGTCCACTTTTAGTACAGATTAGTACTACTTAGATTTTGTACAGTTGCACGCTTTAAGTGCGATCACTCTCACTAATGTTACATGCATGTAATTACTGCAAATGTTCCTAAAACGTTTTAGACAGCAGTAGACAACACAATCAATTTACACCACAATAGTAAATATGATTTTACTTTTATTGTGTTCAGAGTGCTTATTAACTGTACTTGAAACGTGTTTGTAGGTCTACAATAAATAACATTGATTACCCACAATACTTTGGGGCAACAGTTAAAACACGTTCTATAAATACATTAAAATTTTATGTTTTACAGAGTTTGTGATTTCCGTTTGACATCCATCGTCTTAATTGAAATCGACTTCATAAAAAGCACCACTAGGCTAGATAAGGCATGGAAGCAAACTAAGTATCAATGAAAATCAGTAAGAAATCTACTTTTGTGGTGTTTATACAGTACCAATAGTTTTTTTTTTTTTTTTACAAAAATTAAGACAGCTTAAGATGCTTACTCTTAGTGTGAGACCTTTTCTTTTGTTGCTGTACTGTTCATTCTAACTTAATAGTATCTAATACTGTTGAAGATTTAATATCATTCATTTATAGTGATACTTACTTACTTACTGTGTCGAGCTAGCTCGGCAGCTTTAAAGTGATACTAAAAGCAATGCCGGGTAAATGGGCCCATATATTATGTGGTGCATAAGATATTCACTTTGTAACTGATGGTTATGTCTTCCGTTGGTGAAAAAGCAGTTTCTAACAGGTCTCTATTAAAATGCTGGAGGAGCGCTTGCTTTGGTATCTACCG